AAAAAAGATAAAATAAAATAAAAACTTTGAGGTAGCTTTAAAATCACTTAGGAGATTGTAAAACATCTAAAGGTTTGACAAGGGTCACCCAGGGTAAGAGGAAACAGGCTGGACTGGAAAGTGTGGAAACTGATAACAACTTCTGTGGACGCAGTAGTGGCTCAACCCCTGTCACAGTTACAAGTGCACATACCCTTTTGTCCAACAGTTTCAGAAACTGAGAGGAGAGATACATTGGCACTTAGAGGAAGTGATGCCTTGGCTGGTTTATTGTAACACTGTTTATACTAGCACAAGACTGGAAACAACCTAAGTGTCCAACAATAGGGGATTATCTAAAGGAGGCAGAGTTAGGATAGACTACTACACAGCAGCAAAAAGCAGGGGGGAAAAACTCTTCAAGGGCTGCTCAAGAATCTTACAGCTACTTTTTCTTTTTCTTTTTCCTTTTTTTTTTTTTCCAGGGAGCAGGAGTAGTTGGGTTTATCTATTTGTTTATCTTGATGGCAGTTCTAGGGATTGAACCCAGGACCTCGTGCGTGCTAGGCAAGCACTCTACCACTAAGCTATACCCTCCCCACTAAGAACCTCCAAGCTACTTTAAAGGAAGACAGCAAGATGCCAAACAGTGAGTGTACCATATGAACCAAAGTGGGTGAGTTTGGTGGGAGAAGAATGGGGTAAAACAATTACACATGTCAGTGTTGCTATCCAGAAAGCAGACCTCTGGAAGGACACGGGGGCTGGTACTGGGGGCTGCTGCTGCGGGGGGTGAAAAGGCAGCTCGGGAGCTGGGGAGCTATAATCATTTCTTTGACATTTTTGAACTGGGTAAATATATGACCCATTTTTTTAAAAAGCTATTTTTCATTTTAAAAAACACTCCAAATAAAATTACAAGTTTAAAAATACAGGGGAATGGGGAGGTGGAGGTAGAGCTCAGTGGTAGAGCATGTTCAATCCCCAGTACCTCTGCAAAGGGAGACAAAAATTGAAAAAAAAAAATGCAGGGAGATGAGAACAGAAAGCCAATTAATGGTCACCAGAAGCTGGGGTGAGGGGCTTGGAGAGTGACTCCTTAATGGGTATGGGGTTTCTTTTTTGGATGATAAAAAAATTTCTGGAATCAGATAGTGGTAACGGTGCCCAACACTGTGAATGTACGAAATGTCACTGAATGGTAGACTTTAAAATGGTTAAAATGGTCCACCCTATGTTTTATGTATTGTTATGGATGTGTGTTATTACCACAAAAGTTAAAAATGGCAACACGAGCAGTTGGCGTGTTATTTGACACGGGCCCCAGAGTCGGGATGACATGGGGATGTGACTTGCCCAAGCTCTCAGCTGGCCTCAGCCCCCCAGGTGCTGTAGATGGGAGGGGTCACAAAAACATGTGTTGTGGATGCCAGGGTATATAAACTCCTCCTTCTGCACTCACTCCACTAAATGAAAAGGACTGGGTCCTCAGCAGTGGGACACCCTGGGGTGTTGGGCTGAGAGGAGAGGTATATGGCGGTCTCCAAAAATAACCTTCCTGGGGGGATCTGTAGACGTCCCCCGACTGCCCGTCCTTCATATCTAACTGATCCCAAAGCTGTGTCAACTCTCTACGGGACGGACTGGTTCTAGTCAAATGTGCAGAGGAGGTGGGAAGAAAAACTATCAAAATTCTGAAAAGAAAAACATGACTAACCTCACAGAACTGTGTCTTAAGGGACAAAAAGGATCCCAACTGCAAACCAGCGACTAGACGTGCAGTACGTTCATCCAAGTCTTCTCACAAAGAAAGCTTCCTCGGAAAGACTAATTTCGGCCAGTGCTTGAGGTTGGAAACCACAGGCCTCGGGGATCTCTGTCCTCAAAGGCCCCTCACCGAGTCTGTAGGAGCCAGTCCTCCTCCTGTGTCCCCATAGGGGGCCGTTCCCATGGTCTACATGGTCACCTGACCAAACCTCTGGGCATCACCCTTGGCCCTCCTTACCCTTCTCTCGCCCAGCCTGCCAATCCCTGGTGTCCCTGAATGTCTCTGCCCCTGAATCTCTTTGTCTCAACCCCTCCATGCATCCCCCGAGTTCTGGCCCCAGCTCAGCCCTTCACGTGGCCTGAGAGGGGTCTTACTATACCTAGAGTGGGCCTGCTGCAACCCTGCTCAGACCCCTCCAGGGCTCCCAGGACCCTGACAAGGTCCCAGCTCCTCAGCTCTTCTTTGGCCCTGGTGACATTCTCAGCCTTCCCTACCAGGCCCCAACCCCACAATCCTCCCCAAATATGTGGGGCTTTTCTTTGCACTGGTGTCTGCACTGGCTGTCCCCTCTCCCTCTAACAACCTAAGCTCCCCTCTTTGCCAGGAAAGACCCCACTTTCTTTCAAATTCGAGGGAGGGTAGGGTTCCTCTTCCAGCCTCCCACAGTGCCTCAGCTGCCTCCATCGGAGCCCGGATCTCCCTGAGTTGGAACCAAAAGGTGGGGTTTTCAAGTGACAGAACTGGGTCCCTTCATCTCAGTGAACCAAGCCAGCCTCGCCCAACACGAAGCCTGGGACATGAGAAGCCTCAGACAATGGATGGATGAAGAAGGCCCAGAAATGAGAAACACAAAAAGCAAACCCAGGAGGGTAGACCCAGCAAGAGGGAAGAGAAGCAGGGAGAGACGGGGATGGAGGGCGGCCACCATGCCACCTGCAGGGAGTAGTGGAGAGCGGAGCTAGCCGGGTGCAGCGTGAGGGTCTGGAAGGGCTGGATTCGGGGCTGGCCCCAGCCCTTCTCTCTGTTCCATTCCACCATCAGCATGTGGTCTGTGAATGTCTTCCCAAACAGCAGGGGCTTGCTGGGATCGGGCTTCTTATGAGGCTTCTGTGTCATTTCCAGCTGCAGGTCCACAGCCTGAGGAGACAGGTGTGTCCTCGAATCTGACCACAACCTCCAATCTGAAAAACTAAAACTCCCATGAACCCCTGGGGGTAAGACGCAGAGAGAAGAGGGACTTGTAGCCCCAGAGGCTTCTGGGACATGTAGTGTCATCTCTTCCCCAGGGCCTGATGGCAGGCAATTAGACTACTCCATTGCCACCCACCTTTACCTTTGGGCCTTGGAACTTTTGGAGATGCCCAAATCCAGCCCCTAGCCCTCTCCTCCCTCAGACCTAGTGTTCCAGGCCCCCAGTTCCTCCTCCTAAGATCCAAAACTATAGCCCTTCGTTTCACCTTGAAGCTGGACGAGGCATATCTTCTGGGACCACACAGAAGCCAAGGGACAGGGAGAAATTTTCGGGCCCAAATCTGGGGGTGGAAACAGAAGTAAGAAAGGTGAGGAGACTGGGAGAGAGAGGGAGCAGGGGGCCCAGACACCACCTTTGTCACCTCCTGCACTTGGGAGGTCCCTCTGGCCTGCTCTGTCCCAGTCTCAGTCCCAGTGCATTCTTCTAGGCAGGGCATGTGGCCCTGACCAAGAGGAGAACCTGAAGGAGGCCAAGCCCCCTCTCTGCCTCCACGAGGCCATCCCTACAAAGAGCTGAATCAGCTCGCATCCCTTCCTCCATGCTGGAGCAAAGTCAAACACAGGCACCTCCCACCCCAGGGAACTTTGGCCCCAGCCCTGAGGCCAGTTCAGACTGAAGACGACAAGGGAAGGTGTGCAGGTAAGTGAAGGCTTACCTGGGGGACCCAAAACCTGAAGAGTTAGAAAAGTGAGGGACCTATAGGTCACACTCCGCCAGGCCCCTCCTCCCTCAGAACCCGAAATCTAGGCAGTCAGCCCCATTTTCCCTCAGACCCAGGATTCCAGGCCCTAGCTCCCTCCTCCCTCAGACCCAGAAGTCCAAGTCCTTATCCTTTCTGATCAACTGGGCTCAGCTTATCTGAAGCCACAATCCCACAACAGTGATCCCAGTTCCTTTCAGATCCCAGAACAGAGGGGCAGCCACATGGACCTGGGACCACCCCAGTCACCAAAGGACACTGCTCAGATGAACACTTCCCTCGTGGTCCTGCCCGAGGCCAGCAGGGGAGAGTAGGTTTGACTGTGTCCAGCATGGTAAACTTTCATCGGTGGTCTTTGACCACACAATGCCTCTTTCCTCAGCCCAGGGTGAAGGCAGCTGTGTCATGAGGTTGGGAGAGGCGGAAGAGCCTAGCCTGCTCCTGCCCTATGGGTGAACTGACACCAATCATTGAGAACGGATGTGAGTGGCCGAAGTCACTGGTCAGTAGGTGAGTCATGGGGAGAGGCGGGCTGCAGGGTTGTAATGTCCTAAAGTCTAGGCCATGACATCTGAGCCGAGGGCTTCTGGGGTGCGGGTGTGGGGGCAAAGGGCTTCTGGGATGATCAGCATGTAGGTCCCAGGCATGGCCTCTAGGTGGCAATGTGTAGCCTGCCCAAGCCTTAAGCCACGTTTCTGTATAGGAGGGGACAGGACACCCAGAGTATAGAGAAAATGTGGACACCCAGGGGAAAGCCAGCATGTAGGCAGGAAAGCAGCCCTCAGAGGGAGCCAGAATGGGCAGAGGGTGGGGCGGGAGGGGGGGGGGAGTGTAGGAGAGGGAAGAGCAAGAGTGTGAAAAAGATAGAGACTTGGAAATAGAAAACAAACTTTCAAGAACGGAAATCAAGGCCAAGAGATACCTAAATAGAAATGATCAGAAAGAGAGCAAGAGAAACAAGGACCTACTGTATGGCACCGGGAACTAGATTCAATATCTTGTAAGAACCTGTATCAGAAAAGAATATATACATATCTGAATCTCTTTGCTGGACACCTGAAACTAATACAACATTGTAAACAACTATACTTCAATTCAAAAAAAAATTTTTTTTTCAAGGGAGAGAAAGAGAGACAAGAGACAAGAGGGAGAGAAATTCAGGCAAGGTAAAGCCTGGAGAAATCAAGAAAATGCTGAAGGCAGGATAAAGAGAAGCCATGAGAGAGAGAGTGAACAGGAAAAAGGAGAGAAATAGACAAAGACCAGATGTCAGGTGATAGCACAAAGTAAAAGAGAGACCTAGAGAAATGAGTAAAGACTGGGAGAGACAGACCATTACAAACACCTGGAGAGAAACTGTCTCAGCGATGCTGAGAGACAGAGATGTCCAGGAGAGACAGACAGGAGAGGCAGAAAAACACACCCACATGGCAGAGAGAAAGTGCCGGGCAGCATTTCCAGGAGATACTGAATCTGCATTGTCCATAGAGACTCTGTCACACTGCGAGAAGATGCTTTCATTCTCCCAGGACATGTTCTAGGGGCAGGAGTCTCAGCTCTGCTCAGGGAAGGTGCCCCTCCATCTGATACCCCAAGCCAAAGGAGATCTCGGGTGGCAGATGGGCTTTGGGGACAAAGGGTATAAAAGGAGTGGGGCTGAATTAAGAAATGAGAAATGGTTGGGGTTGGTGGTATATACAAGGCAAGGCTCTGTGACAGGATGGAGCCTCCACTGTATCCCATTACAGCCCAGGACTGTCCCCACATTACAGCCTGAGAAAAGTCTCCATCATTGTGCAGTGCTGTCCTTGTCTCAGCCAGGAACTATCTCTATCACAGCCTCAAAATGTCCCTGTCACAGCTCAGCACTGATTCCATGACATGTAGAACTGTCCCATCACAGCCCAGGTCCCATAACAGTCTGGGACTGTCCTATGACACCCCAAGACTCTCCACATCATAACCCATACTGTCCCTATCACTGCCCAGGACTGCCCACCATAGCCCGGGAGGGTCACCATCAAAGCCTAGACTGCCCCAGTCACAGCCCAGGCCTGTCTCAGTCACTAAGACTCTGAGAAAGTGAAAATCTTCCCTGCTATCCATCAAGCTGGAATGAGTCCCAGATAAAGTCAGGTGAACAATTAACAGGAAACACTTCTCCCAACGTTATGCTGCAGCTGTCAAGGGTTGTAAAGACCTCCTTCTCTGAGTTGTTACTGTTTCCTTCCTCACTGAGAAACCCTGTTCTCTAAACACACAGACTCTCCGAAGCTCTGCCTGTTGACATCCCCTCAGTAAGAATGGACGGTCCTACTTGCACCTGGAGGATCTCTGTCACTGACAATGAGATGCTGCCTCAACTTCCAATGCAGGTGCAGAGTTTCAGATAAGAGGTTTTAGGGACACAACATTACATTTGTCGTTAAAGAATCGGGCCTTGGGTCCAATTCCCAGTCCAGATTTGAGACTGAACTCTGTGCCTTCATCATACTCCCATTCCTAGAGGTGCTGGATGTCTTATCCTGGTGCCCCCACCAACTAGGAGGCTGACTCTTCCCTCCTAATCCATCCTCCCACCCCAGTCCCAACCGTCCCAATTACTGTCTCCTCCGTGTTACCTTCCTCATACCTCCCATCCAGGTGCCCTTCCCACTGATTACCTCTCCCCCGCACCCCCTTTCGTGCTGTTTTCTAAGGAGCCCCCTTTTCCTCGGCGCCCCGCAGCGGAACCCGAGCGCGGGAGGAGCGGCGCGACGCCGGACCGCCCGCGGGCGAGTGGTCCTCCCGGAAGTGCGCCTCGCCTCAGGGTCCCCCAGCACCCCCAGCACTGGGCCGAGAACCCACCTGCCTCACTGCGGCCGCGGCCATAGTCGGTGTGGCGGGTAACTGTGCCCGCCCAGAGCGCAGCCTGAGAAAAAGCCGTTCCAGCCCCGCCCCACTCACGCCCCCTTTCGTGGGATGGCCACCAGCCGGCACCCCCAGATGGACCAGGCCTTCCCAGATGTGGGGCGCCTGAGGGGAGCTAGGCCCTGATGCAGAGCGCATGCGCTAGAACCGGCAGGGCCATGCGACCGAAATACACCCTCCTCCTAGGCCCTCCCCAGCCACCACGCCATGCAACGTCTTTGAAAAATGCCTTCTCATAGGTACAGCACTATTGTGGAGCGCTATCAAGGATAAGCAGCCCGAGCAAGAGAAGGGAAAGGCAGGGAGCAGAAATCTTTACATATCACAATCCTTGCTATAAATGTCGGTGGGCACAGGTATTATGTAAAAATGCACAGGAACAGGGAAAGGACTGAAGAGGGTGGCAGGTAGGGATGAAGGGGGAGGTTCACTGTTTGGATACTTCTCTCTTTGAATATAGGTTTTCTTTCCAACGAGAAGATACATGTGCATTCTTTGCAACTTTTTAAGAGTTAAACACACGCACGGTTCACCATGCCTCCTTCCAGCCCCTTTCACCAGTGAGGCCCGAAATTTTCCAATCCAGCAATTCATCAATGAGTTTCTATAAACAGCCTGTTTTCCTGGTTATATACCCCTTCAAGAGTGTCTCCCCAACTTCATGATCCCCAGAGGCAGAATTAGCCGATCACAGCCCCACAGGATCCCTCTTATCTGTAGCAATTCAAACCTGCATCAGTGTCCCCTGTATCGTGCTCGGTAACTGTGCCCCTCAACTCCACCATCCGGGTTACTGTGACACCAAAATATCGTTCCTGCTGTATCCTTAAACTCTGGGTCCTAGGTCACTGTGCTACCCTGGGACATTTTGTCCCCAAATTCTGTTCCCCAGCCCTAAAGGCCACAGGCAGGCAGGCAGGCAGGCAGATTCCCAACCCTCCCCCGCAGGGTGTCTGCCTGTTTTTCTTCCCTTCTCCCCAGTCCTCCTCCCCCACCGCCTTGGCTGGAGTCGTTAGGGTGCGGCGCCCAGACCGCTCCAGCCTCCGCAGCGGCCAATCAGAGATTGCCGCACACCCCCGCCGCGGCCAATCCGCAGCAGCAATGCAGCTCCGCCTCCTCACCTGGGGGACTTACCCCAGACTGGGCCTGTCGCCTCGCCTCGGGGAGTCTAGGCTCCAATCCTTCCCAGCCAGGGAATCCTCACCCCTTGGTTTTCCCTCCTTCCCCAAACCCAGATTTTTCCGGACCCCAGCCCCTCCTCCCTCCTACGCAGGAGTTTCAACCCCCAGCTTTCTCTTCCCTCAGGACTTTTGGCGATGGCCACTCTCCAACTCCGCAAGTAGCAAGGTCAACAATCCGCTCTCCTAGGGGCCAAAAATAAAGAGGAGGCCTTTTGCTTTACCTCCTCCATCATCTCCTAATGAGAGTCTAATTTATTCTCCCCTGCAGACCTTTTAATTAGCGCGCAGGTGAAGCCGACCACCACTGCCTTTCCCAGGAGCCCCTGGCTACATACAGGCTCTTTCTGCAAGGCCTGCCAGGAGTTGCAGTCCCTCGGGTCCAGGCCACGCGTGGGAATGCGTGGGGCTGAGGGGGAGGTGGGGGATGGGGTCCTGGTGTGGTAGGACTCATAAAGGGTTGAAAATAAATGTAATGATGCCCTCCTCCTCCTCCGCTGCAAAGTGCTTTTTGGGAACCTGTGAGGTGGTTTAATGTCTCCAGTTGGGGGCGGCACCTGAGAGGCAGAATGTAGAAGCTGGAATTTGGGAGACTGTGTTTGGGGTGAGACAGCCCTAGTCAGGGAGGCCCAAGTGGAAATGTGGGAGATCAGGAAGGGATGGTGGGGGTCTTCACTGGGGTGCCCGGACCTGCCTTGCACCCATACCCCAGCTCAGCACCCCCGGTCACTAGCAGCTCAATCCCTGTGCAAAAGGTGGCTTCAGAGGCCAGGAACACAGCGGCAGCCCCCACCTCAGCTGGCTGGCCCATGCGGCCCAGGGGCTGGGGAGAAACAAGCAAAAATCGAGGTCAAGAGGAGCCCCCACCTGACCACCACCCCCATACCACCTGGGTGGCCCCCATTCCTACCTGGGCCAGTGTGCCCTCTCGGATTGTGGCAGTGGGATGAGGTGTTGAGGCTGCCAGCTCTTCCCACAGTGGGGTCCAGATGTTTCCTGGGGAGATGCTGGAGTGAAAGAAGAGAGGATCAGTAAAGTCTGCTGTAAACTCTGCCTCTTGGGCTCACTCATAGCCTTCCCAGTTCCCCCAGGAGGCTCTCAGCCCATGTGGAGCTGCTCACCAGTTGACACGGACGCCATATTGACTCTCATCCAGGGCCAAAGCTTTGGTCATGGCTGTTACTGCCCCCTGCAAAGACAGGGCGAGAAGAAAGTTCAGACCAGGAAAGATGAGGGTCCTCCCATCCTCTCCTCCCAACTAAGAGGCACCAAGTAGGGGCATCAGCATCGGGAAGTCAAGCCCTCCCTGCAGGCTTCCTTGGGAGGTATCAGGCTGTTTCTTAGGAGACACTTGCATAACATAACCTGTCATAGCTGGCTGTGCCTCAGGGCTGAGGCTCCTATAGGAACGACCAGGGTACCTTGGTGGCCACATAGGGAACTGCCCGGGACTGGCCAATCGCCCCGACCAGACTGGAGATGTTGATGACATTCCCCCGGCTCTTCCGCAGGTGAGGGAGGGCAAGCTGGGGAGACAGAAGGCAGAGTACAGTGGCCCAAACCCCGCTGAAATTCATCCAGATGTCCAGGACAATGGCCATCTCCCTGGTGTGTTCACTAGTTGATCTGGGTGTCTAATAGGTACAGCATGAAGGACCGGCCTTCTCTGGTTTGCCCAGGATCTCTGAGTCTCAGCCCCTAAGGAGTGTCTCCTTGTCTGGAAGGGATTTTTCTCTATGTCTCTTCTACTGCCTCTCTCCGTCTCTGTCCCCCACTTTCTGTGTCCCTGTCCCCCTCTCTCAGGGTCTCTGTGCCTCTCTCTCTAGGTCTTTGTATGTTACTCAAACTCCCATCCATAACCAGATAGGAAAATGCAAGAGAGACCAAGATGGCTGCATATTTTACAAAAATGGGAGGAATCCCTTTTATGCATGGAGGGGAAGATGGTTTCTCCGAGATTCAGTGAGAGCTCTGTGGTGAGAAAATGACATGGGAGGCCATGAAATACACCCCATATTCTGCCACCATCTCCCCCACAATCCCCTGGCCACCCAGAGGTCCCTAAACTAACTCTCTCTCAACTCTCTCCCCTTCCCTTTCCTTCTCTCTCCCTCCCACTCTGACTGTTCTTTCATTACACATGACCTTGAATAAGCTCAAATTCTATCCTTTCCCTTCCTTGCCTTGAGCAGCTGAGCTGACTCTGCAGGGCCTGTCCCTGCCACTAAAGATTAACGGGCACAAGCTGGCTTCCTCAAGAAGTAGTCAAGGAGGGAACCTAAATTATCTCCCTCTCCGATTCACCTGAGCAGCTCTTTCAAACCTTCTCCACTCACCCCAAAACGGCCTCCACCCTGTCCTCAGTGCTTCAAACATACCCTGAGTGTTCCAACCTCAGGACCTTTGCATGTGCTGTTCTCTCTACCTGGAATATATTGCCTGACCTAGCATGTGACTCACTCCTAGGGTGACCAAGTTTCCCAGTTTGCCCAGGAGCTGAAGGGTTTCTGGGGGCATGGGACATTCAGTCCACAGTTTCAGGGCTAAAGCTGGACAATCCTAGCCCCTAAGCAATTTCAAATCCTGTTCAAATGTCACCTCGGTGAGGTTTTCCCTGACCATCCTATTTAAAACTGCAAACTGCCTCTCCCTGGGCCCCCATGCCACTTCCTGATTCCTTGTCTCTGTCATGCACCCCCTCTGAATTTTATGTATATATAAAAATAATATATATATATATTATTTATATATATTTTTATTTCCCCATTTGCTCATTCTCTCTCTCCCACCAGAATGCAAAAACCCATGAGGGACGGTGGAAATTTCTTATTCTGATTCATCCCCAATACTAAGGTATCTGGCACATAATAGAGGCTCAATAAATATCACTGGACTCAATGAATGAATTTGTTGAGGATCAGTTAGTTATGTGCCTGCCCCTATTCTCAGCTCTTTACCCCCATTTGCTCATTTAATCCTCACAACAGTACCAGAAAGGGGTCCAGTCAGCAACCCCTTCCTCCAGGTGAGGAGACTGAAGAACAGAAAGGTGACTACTAGCCAGAGGGCCATGTGACACCTGACAGAGCCAGTATTTGTGGCCTGGCAGTCTGAGACCAAAACCCACAACCGTAAACTTTGCTAACTCTAAGTACAAAGAACTCTAAGATAATATCAGCATGACTGATGTGAATATGGGGACCTTGGGGGGTGGGGGCGGGGAGAGGACCCTAATCCTCTAGCCTCCTCCTCAGGGACCACCCCTCCCTTCACCCTCTCCTTCTCCCCTCACTCCCACCCACCTTGAAACCCTTCCTCCCCAAGCCCCCACCCCAGGCCCGGCCCCTGCCATATTTCTCTCCTTCATCCTTATCTCTCCCCGTGGGGCTGTTTAACTCTCTCCCCTCCCCAACCCCGCAAAGGTGTGGTCCATGGGGGCTGAGACACATGTATTCGCCACCCTCATGCCAGCCCTGGACACTCAGCTGACATTCAATAAATATTTGTCCTACATTCCCGTAGCCCCTTTCCAGCCCTCCCACATATTCCTTGGCTCCCATACTCCCCCACTCCCCACCAAGGTCACCCGTTGCACCTCCACGGATACATCAAGGACCCCCTGGTCTCTTATTGGCCTGACTCTCCCCCTCTTCTCCCTCCCTCTCTTCCGACACCAAATCTGAAAGATCCTGGCTCTCCTGCACGTCCTGCAGCTTCTCTGGGGCCTGACTGCATTTCCCCTAAGGGTTGGGGCTCCAGGGTCTGCTTCTCACTCTCTGAGTTCTGCTGAGGGAGCCGCCACTTGGCTGGTTTTTCCACCAGCATCTCCTGCAATCTCCCTTGGAGCCACCTTCTGAAGCTCCTGACCTGCCACCCTTGGCCATTTCCATTTCTGTGTCTTGCCTGCAAAACTTATTCCATTGTCTCCCCAGAAAATCTGCCCCACCCCCTGCTTCCCAGCCTCCAGTGTGGGGTCTAGTCCCTCCCAGAGTCTCAGGCTGGAGACCTGGGGCATCAGGGAGTCTTCTGGAGCCTCCACCTCCTTCAGTTCCTCATGAGACCCATCACCAAGCCCCGGCCATTGTGCCTTCTAAGGATCTCTTGACTCTATACAATTCCCTCCACCTCATTAATTCATTTAACGAACAGTTGTTGAGGACCTACTATGTGCCAGGTGCTGTAGTCAACACTGGGGACACTGCAGGAAACAAGACAGGGAAAGATTTCTGCCCTCGTGGAGCCTAAGTTCTGTGGGGGAGGCAGCAAGAAACAAAAGAAAGTACAGTACTGAATGTTCTAGAGTGTGATTAGGGATATGAAATCAGAAGTAGAGCAGGATGAAGGGGAATGGGAGCACTGGGCTGGGGACAGCTGCAAACAGGGCACCAGGGGAGGGCTTCGGGAAGGTGAGATTTGTGGGGAATTCTTTGAGATCATCGTGCCAGGCAGAGGGAATAGTGAGCGCAAAGGCCCTGAGGCAGGAACAGGCTGGGTGCATTTGACAGCAATGGGGCCACTGTGGTGGGAGGTGGGATCAGAGAAGCAACAGATTGGGTGAGGCCCTGAAGGCCACCTCTTCTCACTTGCACATGTGCAATCCTCTCCTGATCCTAATTCCCACCTGACTTTGCCCTCTGATTTGTTCCTCATACAAGAGCCAGGGTGATCTGTTATGACTAAAGATCTGTTAGTATTAATGGGCTCACATCAATTCCTTGCTCAAATATCTTCTGTGGCTCCCTATTTCTCTTGAGATCAAGACCAGATGTCTCAGCCTGGCCCCTCAAGATCCCCCCATGTATTTGGCCCCCAACTCCTTCCTGAACCACCCCCTTCACTCACTCCATTAAGCACCTCAAGGGCTCCAAACCCTCACTGCCAGGCCTGTGAACAGGCTGCTCTCTCTGCCAGGGACACCTGCACCTCCCTGTAGCTCCATCAAGGACCCACTGGACTCTCAATGGCCTGACTCACCAGTCTCCCCCACCTTCTCCCCTAATTAATGTTGCTCATCTTTCACTTCCTACAAGAAGCCTTCCTTGGCTCCCAGAACAAACCAGAACCAGAATACACTCACCCGTGGAAACTCATCTCTTGTTTATATAACACCTAGCTGTCCCATGACTATAAACTCCACAAGGGCAAAGACCACGTGGTATATTACCAGCACCAAGAATGCTCCCTGACATCTATGAAAGCTCAGTCAGTCTTTGATGAATAAATAGATGAACAAACAGATAGATCTCTAAGAACCAATCCAGCTCTGAGAGTGTACACCAGACACTCCTCTGTTCAAACATCTTCTGTGGATGCCTGTTGCCCACAAGATAACTATATAAATATTCCTGATTGCTCTATTGTTTTCTCTAGCCTAGGGAATCACTAAAGCTGGCTTGAGTCAGAATCCACCAGGGAGACCAAAACCCCAGAGGTTCTGATTCAGGAGGCCAGGGCTGAGGTCTCAGAACTGACATTTAGACAGCTTCCAAGGGATGTTAGTGGTGGTGGTGATGATGAAGGTAATGAGGATGATGATGTGGGGATGATGGCAACTGGTGAAGATTGTAATGATGATGGTGATGATGGCAATGATGGTGAGGATGGTAATGATGTAAAAATGATGACAATGATGATAATGGCAGT